TGAAGTTGAACGGGCGATTGATAAGTTAAATCCTGGGAAATCTCCAGGACCAGATGGTCTTTGTGCCAAGTGGTACAAATGTTTTAAAAGCGAATTGTCTTCAATACTTGCGGGCGTTTTTAATGAGGCATATGAGGAAAAGAAATTACCACCATCCTTTGGTGAATCGCGTACCGTTCTCATTCCGAAAACAGACGAGGTTGAAAAGCTCAGGCACGTCACAGCGTACAGGCCAATCGCACTGACAAACGTAGACTACAAAATATTAATGAAAATTTTGGCGGCCAGACTTCAGTCAGTAATAAAAGATATCGTCGGTCCACACCAAACGTGTGGAATAAAGGTCGGTCCATAGTTACAAACGTTCATAAAATGCGATCCGTGCTCGAATGTGTTGACACCTGTCATGCTCGTGTGGCCATACTCCAGCTGGATCTAGAGAAAGCGTTTGATTGCGTTTCCCACGCTCTTTTGTTTGCAGTATTGAAGCACATTAATGTTGGTAAGATAATTATTGACGGAGTAGCCATGGCATATCGGAACGGTAGTACGAGACTAATTATCAACAAGACATTGGGCCCCCCCCATAAGAATCGAGCGCTCAGTGCGTCAAGGTTGCCCTGTTAGTCACTTTTGTTTTGCATCTATATTGAAACTTTATGTCAGTCGATATTGCAGAATGACATCATTAATGGGTTTAGAGTACAATCTTCAGAGGTCAAACTACTCGCATACGCTGATGATGTTGCGATTTGTAGCACTACCTATGTCGGTATTGAAGAATCAATCAGAGTTTCTAAATATTTCGCCGAAGTTACAGGAAGCCACATAAACTGGGGTAAATGCCTCGGCTTCTGGCATGGATATTGGCCTTCAACACCAGAATTTTTCGCAGCCATTAAATGGACAAGAACGCCAGTTAAATATCTTGGAGTACCGCTCGAGTCATACAAAAGTACTGACGAATATTGGACACAGCAAACGAAAGAAATTAAAGAAAAAGCGAATAGGTGGAATGCAACTTATCTGTCCATGTTTGCTAGGGCTACTGCATGCAACTGGTTTTTTGTGTCTAAGCTGTGGTATGTGATGCAAGTGCTGTACTGTTCCCGGGTCAATGTGCAAAAATTACATCGGGTGTTTGCAATATTTGTGTGGGGGTCTAACTGGGAAAGGTGCAGTCGCACGAATTTGTTTAGACGGGTGAAGTGTGGAGGCCTTGGGCTAGGACATCTGTTTATCAAGCAGTTAGTAAATAGGTTTTTCTTTTTTCGTGAGACAAGAGATCCTTTCCTACTAACAGTGTGTCAAACAAGACTAAGTAGACTGTTGCCCGAGTTTGTTGTGAGCACCCATGTTACCCCAGGGGCTGTGCAAGGATACATGAAAGAAGTAGTGGCCAGCGCGCGGTTTTTGTGTGTTCGCTTTTCAACTGACTACCTGTGGTCTGTTGGAAAGAAAAAACTGTACAAAGATTTATGTGACACGATGCTCCCCGTCCCACTGTACAGAGCGCTATATACAGCACGCAAGGGTCAGAATGTACTTAAACGAGTAAAAAAAATGCCAGCAGCTCCAAGTGCGAAAACGTTCTTTTTCAAATTACACACTGGAACACTTCCTGTAAGAACCTTCCTAGAGGAGCGTGGGTTTTATATGCCTTGGGGATCCCACTGTCTAATCTGTAAGAAACCGGAAACTATCGACCATGTTTTCCTGCACTGTTGGGAAGGAGTTTATTTTTGGGACGTATTACAAAGGACAATCAAAAAAGAGTTTCCGTTAGACCCTCATGGTATCAGGTATTTGGCAATAGAGAACGAGGATGGGTTACCTTACGATTTTATCATGATGACTGCCTTGCACAGTATATGGCGCTCTAGAATGGCTGGATTTCATTGTGACCCAGACAGAAGACCAGCAAGAGAGTATTTTAAGGAAAGCATCTGAAGATTACTTGAGGTAGTAAGAACAGACGAATGTGTACCTTTGTGGGTAGAAAGGGTAGAAGCCCTACTGACCATGAAGGAATTCTAGGATGCGATGTGTTACAGTTATGTTTTAAGTTTTTTTTGTATTGTATGTAGTGAATTGTAATATATCTTAGTAACCCGTTTGCGAAGTTTACCGGAAATAAAAAAAAAGGCAGTAGCCGAGTGGTAAAGTGCTTGTTTCACAATTGGATGGGCAGTGGTTCAAATCCCGATGCCGGCCGCATTGCGAAAAAGTTTTCTTTACAGGATTTAAATTTTTATTTTCCGATGTTTGGTCACCTACACGAAATTGACTCGGAGTATTTGTCACTGATGTTCCCACCACAGAGGTAGCATAATGGTTGTTTATAGCCTATATAGTCTATAGCCTATATAACCTTTGTAGTCTATAGCCTCTCAAAACGCGGTAATTCTTTGTTTCAAAAGGTAATGTAATAGTTTATTTATATCGATTTCTAGGAATTCCCCGATCAGAAAAAAAGGTAGGCTGTTGAAGTCTCGTAATCTTAAATTTCAGAAGGTTTTTCTATTATTCCTATTCGTAGCCTAACCTAACCTAACCTAGCCTCACTTGGGGGGATTCCGTCAGCATCTTAGACGCTGAGGATCCTGGTGTCTCTTCCATTGCCACCGGTGGACCCTCAGAAGGTAATGCAGGTTTGTCAGAAGAGACAGATGTCTCAGTTGCTATGTCGTACCTGGGGTCTGATAGAGGTCGACCTACGGGACTTGAAAGGTTGGTGCCGCCGGTGGCTGCTTGGTGAGGGGCACAGATGTGCACCCATCAGCAAAGCTGCATTGCGTGCCCACCGTCACTAGACGCCATCCAGCTCCCCGGAAAGCTGCGTCAGCGTATGATCTTCTGGAAAAAAGGGATACCTTCTTCCGGGCTTCCGAGAATGTGATGTTTTCTGTAACTTTGGTGTGAATTACAGCCTTTTCCTTCTTGAACGCTTCACATGTGCGCGAGTACGCAGCATGCAGCCCGTGACAATTAGGACGTTCTGTTCGATCCGAAGTGAAGCTCTCGGTTGGGTGCTCATGGTCACCACATTTCGCACATGTTAGTTTTCCGCGGCAGGTGTTTGATCCATGTCCGTATTTCTGGCATTTGAAGCAACTCCTGGGATTAGGTATTTAGGGACAGACTTCACAATGAAGGAACGCCGCTTTCACAGATTCGGGAAAGATGGAGCGATTGAAAGTTGACACTACATGCGGGGTTACCACTTCCTCACCTTTCCGTCTGATTGGGATTCGACGTATGGCGATTACGCCCTGCTCTTGGAAGTTCGGAGGTCAGTTTCAGTTTCTCGCAGGAGATCGCGTTCTGAAATGACAACTTGGATAGTGTAAGACTGTGTAAAGATAGTGTAAACCCAGCGTCGGCTCAACCCCCCGGAATTTCCTCTTCCCCGAACACGGCTCAGCAACGCACGGCTAGGCGTGGGAGAGGTCGAAACCCCCCGTTAGCTCGGGTTCTATTTTGTCTCAAAGTGGCCCCAAAGAAGAAAAATCAGCATTCAAGGCAACCCCAAAAATGGAAATTTTTCATAGGCTTGTGATTTTTTCTCAAATTGATGTCAAAAGTGAGTTATTCAAAACGCGACTAAACCCCGAAAAGTCGAAAAATAGAACCTTTGCGAAGGCTACAGGCTACCCATTTCGTCGCAAAATGGCCCTGAAAAAGAATTATCAGCATTTGACACAACCTCAAAAATTGAAATTTCTCGAAGGATAAATATAGACTTGCCATTTTCTCTAAAACGGTCACAAAATCAAATTACTCAATATTCCGTGCAACCGCGAAAATTTAATAAATAGACCATTTTCAAAAGGCTCTAGGCTTGCCATTTTATTTCAAAATGGTCCCAAAATTCAATCATTCAATTATCTGTGCAAGCTCACAATATCGATAGATAGGCAATTTCCAAAGGTTATAGGCTTGCTAATTTATGTAAAATGATCCCAAAATAAAATTGGTCATTGTGCCACGAAACCACCAAAATTCAATAAATTGGCTCTACGCATGTCATTTTAATTCAAAACGGTCCTAACAATAAATTTTAAAATGCCACGCCACTTCGAAAAATCAATAAGTAGCAATTTTTAAAGGCTTGCTATTTTTCTCAAAATGGTCCCAATATTGCATTACTTATGCCACGCAACCTCGAAAAATCGATAAATAGGCCATTTTCCAAAGGCTTGCCATTTTATCTTAAAACCGACCCAAAATGGAATTAATTAATATGCTGTGCAACCTCAAATAATCAATATAGTGGCAATTTTTTAAAGGCTATAGGCTTGCCATTTTATCTGAAAAGGGTCGCAAAATCGAATATGCCATGCAACCTCGAAAAATCGATAAATAGGCCATTTTCCAAAGGCTATAGGCCCGCCATTATGCCTGAAAATGGTCCCAAAATCAAATTACTCATTATGTTATGCAACCTCAAAAAACAGGTCATTTTTCAAAGGCTCTAGGCTTGCCATTTTTTCTCAAAATGGTCCCAAAATCGAATTACCTAATATGCCACGCGACCTGGAAAAATGAATAAATAGGCAGTTTTACAAAGGCTATAGAATGTCAATTTTGTCTAAAAATGGTTCTAAAACCTAATTATACGAAACACCCCAAAACCTTGAAAAATCCATAAATAGGCAATTTCCCAAAGGCTTGCCATTTTATCTCAAAATGGTTCCGAAAACTCATTATTCAAAACTCCTTGCAACCTTGAAGAGTCATTAAATAGTAACTCTCTAAAGGCTATAGGCTTGCGATTATATCTGAAAATGGTCCCAAAATCGAATTACTCAATATGCCACAAAACCTTCAGTGTTTTGCCCTTGGAGAGAGATGAGACTTGTGTATATTTTTTTGCACTGTTATGCATACATAAACTATACTAGCTACCACTCTTTCGGAGCAAAAGTTTCTTTAGAATGTGGGCTCAGGTTAAAAACGACATTTCTGTTTACATAAAATATCATGAAGAAGAAAGTAGCCATATGAATAGAGCGGCTCTAAAGGCCATTTTATTTAAACTTGCCCTTTTTTCGTACAAAAAGGATATCAAAAGGAAACACGGTTCAACGCTCTGAAATCGTGTGTCCCTTTGGTCGCAGCTTTCGGCCCACAATATGCAATATTCCACAGTATGGCACCGAGAAACTTCTTCACTATCCCAATAAAGGAAAATATACAAACCAGGACTCCGGACATCTATCACATTTCGAAATCTTGAGGAAACAAGATATTTGGGCCCTGCGAGTAAATCGCGAATAAAACAAGCAGTAACTACTGAAAATTTCTATGGTCCCCACACATCAGCGTGTTATCCACATCTGGCACAACTCAGTTACATATGTATAATAAGGGTAACTGGGATTGTGAGGCTTTTCCCAATGTCACAAAAAAAAAAAGCACTTCAGAAGCGCTAAAGCTGCTTCTCGGTTCATCATAACAGTGAAATTGTGAAAAGATACCTCCCCCATTAAAATTGACACACATTGCAACACACTGCATCCACACATAGATACACATAGGATGGAACTAACCATGAAGGGTTGATAACATTCTGCTCAACAATTTTCAGTACTTAATATTACATCAGCAGAGCACAGCACTAACACCGAAATTGAGGGAAAAAAATGCCAATCCCCACAACTGAAAATTCTCTATCTCACATTCTGGGAGCTTGAAGTCCAACACCATGTAGTGCAACAATAAGCCAGATTGAGAAGGGGAGGGGGTTGGTAGGGGCAATCACCACCTGTAAAGCCTGTGTCCCGACCTCCCTTCCCCTCCAGTCCTTGCTGCCCACCTCCTATCACCGATTAGGACTAATGAGTGGGACCACTGTGAGGACAGAGTAACAGTATTTAAGCTATCTTAAGGGTTTTTAAGCTAGTATAAAGAATGCAGTAATGACCCCACACCCCTTCCCGGTGTTAGTTAAAGCGATCGCCCCCTCTAAAATGAGTGGCTGGATCCACCTATGCAACCATGCGCCTAACCTTTCTTATGTCTCATTCAAAACGAAAGTTCCAGAACACTACAGGTCCTTGTCAAGATAAGAACATTCTCCCGAGAAGCATTTCTAAAGTGAAAGCTTCACTGGCCTAGTAAAGCAAGTTTCGCAGAATGCCTCCTCACAGCCTAGAAGTGACGACCGGATACCCCACGAAAAGACGCGCCAAATTCAGTAGTGGCGTTGGAGTTGTGAACGAGCCTACAGCACATGCTTTCGTCGGCTCACCTGTCTACCTCTGAGAAAACGACAACAGGTAGTGGATGCAGTACGGACCATTCGACTAGCCACATTGTTAGGTTGGCATACTGTGCTTCGGTTACGAGGGTAAACGAGTATAACCGCGTGAACAAGTTGTCGCTTGCGCAATCGGGCCTAGTCAAGATAAGCCACGGACAAGTTTACCTTGACTCAACATTTCATACATGCTTACACGATCACCTAGTACGTTGTATCCTGTATAGTCTGTTAAACTGTAGTTTTTAAACTAGTACAGTTTATTGTCACGAATATTTCTGGGAGCAACAAGGGGCCTTCCCATAAATAACTTGAAGAACGAACATAATTTAGCTATGATATGTTGGAGGTGCACAAACAAATGCCAATGAAAAATGCCCTAAGATCGTACAAAACAAAGATGATCATTAAGCAGATTATAAGTATCAGAACGGCTGTAAACCGTTCAGAGAACGGTTTACAGCCGCTACGATGAATAGAACTCCACTAAAACACTTAGTACTTGCACTCTGGAACAACAGGAACACAACAACCTTTCATGCAACACAAAAAAACCACTGCAATACCCCATCTTCATTATAAGCAAATTTTCAACAACGTTACGATATTGGCAAACAACAGTTATGCTTCTCTACTTTAACATTACCACATATGATATCATACCAATGCAATATTGCAGTTTAACTGTACTAAATTTCTTTTTTATCATGGATGACATCATTCACTGCTTCCTACAACACTCGCACCTACTTGAAAAACCTTCATATTCAAGAAGTGAACCACTTAAAAACAATACTTAAAATGATTACGGTACATAAGAAAATACAAGATCAACCCTTGGCAAGCATACAGTAGTAAAACTGAAATAAAAAGAGGGCAAAATTCACTGCACAGGACCCCACACATTCCATTAAACAGTTTTCATAGGCCACGTTCTGAATTAACAATCACAAATGTTTACGAATTGTAACATTGTAAAATGTAACAAATGTTTATGAATTACATTTCATGATTTATCTTGTATACAGATGCATTTATGATTAGGTGATAGCTCGTCCATTAGTACTAATGAAACATTTGCTTAGTACATGGCTGTGTTGGTCGTACGGTTTCACGAAATACCCAATTATCATGGTAACTAACCAAGCCAAATGCAATCAAAATTGGTTTAGAGATTTTTAGCAATAGTTTTCATGTGCAAGAAGGTCTACGTTTTTTTAGCACTTTATGAAATTTACGTTTTTTTATAATGACAACTGGAGCAAATTTTACAAGCTGTTGGCATGGCAACTTTAAATTAAATCACCAGCAAACAGCGAGCGAAATTAGCACAAGTCAATAAAGTTTTACAGCGAATAACGTCCGAGAGTAGCAAGCAAGCTGGAAGTCAAAACTGACTTGCAGCTGTTCGCTTGACTGTGCAGTTTGTTCCACTGTGTAATGAGAAAGATCTGTTTAGATTTGAGTCTCACTGCATTGATAATACTAAGGACAAAAAAAAAGGGCAATGCAAGACTAGCAGATAAGAAAATAACTAGAGTCGATACAAAAGTACTATTAGGCAAATGCATAAAAAAATTGCAACTTATACATTCGGTTCTCGTTAATTAGAACTCAAAGGGACCTCTGAATTTGTTTGAATTACAAAGGAGTTTGAGTTATCAGCTCTCAAGATAGATGACTCTGGGTGATATGACACTACACATTATGATTAGGTATATTGACTTTATCACATTTAGAAATTTTCCAGGCGTTTTCAAGTCCCTAACTGCACGCAGTCAACAGAAAGCAGAGGTGCAAAGTCCACAAGTTTATTGCCCATTTTCTACTGATCAGACCTTTTAAAGAAATCGTGAATTGTCAACTGCTTCATTGCTATAGGTATGTGCTTTCAGCACAAAGATATCTATAATTCTTGAAAAGAATCACCTGTTTACCATGCGTGTACTTAGCTTGAAACATTTGTTTACTAGCAAAGCCTTCTTTCTTGAAGGCCTCAGGTGCTTAGTTTTCATTCTTAGACTGTTAGGATTATATAAGCACACAAATTTTTAAACAGCCGTGGGAAAGCAGCACGTGTTTTCTAGGTATGGAACTGCCAAAAGTATGAATTAACCCAAGATGGAGTTTCAATTGGGAAGGCTTTTGAATACATTGAAAGAATAGAGGGCCAAGCGAAAAATCTAATTTTGTTTGAATAAATCGAAAGTATGAATTATAAGAGTTTGAATTATCGAGTCTACTGTATACATAATTGTCTTCTTTAGGATTCCTGAAAAAAGATTGTGGCAGGTTCATACTAGTCGAGCCAGGCTTGAAGCAATAGCGCAACTGAGTAGTCTCCCTTCTCTCTATTTGTTTCTTGTATCTCCTTGGTGTCCTTTGCTCGTTCTATTTGCAATATTTTTATATTTTTCCTTTTTTTTCTTATTTCCTTCTTTCTTATTGCCTTGTAGCCATTTCTTCGACTAACTTTAGCATTCTTTATATTGAGTGGACCAGTGATGAGATCTGCCTAATTTAAAAGGCCTATGCCTGTTCATATTGACAACAGCTTTCTGGCGACCACGGACATTCTATGGGCGGCTATTGAGGCTTCTTCATTGAAACAACCTGTTATGTTCTATAGCAATTTGCATATTAAATAAAGTGGTTACATTATTGTGGTTCACTTCTCCATCCAGTGCTCAAAAGCTGTTACAATTGATGCAACTCGTGCTGAGTAACGTACGCAAGGGTCGAATTCAACGCCCAAGCGCTTGGTCTTCTTTAACACGCAAAAAATGCATGCATTGTTGAAAAACACACACGCAACTCTTCTTCATCTGAGCACACGCAAGCAAAAACACGCTCACTCAGCATCAGAAAAAGCGATTAAAAAAATGCCACATCGGAAAAAAATGACCAGCAAGAGAGCTGTGGCATTTCACAAGCAAGCCTGATCCAGCGTATCATGAAACCCCGAATTCAAAGAACCGCATGAAATGAACGGCACTACTACTTTTACCAAGTAACAGTCAAAAAAAAAAAAAGGGTGAAAGGAAATGGTCCTCGTTTCCGGAAGGCAAACGACTGTTCGCTATCGTGGAAATTCCGGCCTTTGCAATGGCATCGTGAAAGAAGAGATGCATAAATAGAGATTTATGTATGTATAGAACAGTGTTTAAGCTCACTTCATTGGCGTACATCACCAGTCAACGTGTGCGTAACAGAGAAAAACGGCCTACTTGATTTCCATGTACATGAAACGTGAAAAATATGCTTCTGTTTTCGGCGTTCCGATGGCCATCGAATTTCAAATGAACTGCGTGGTGCTCTCAATGACCTTCAAAACTCCCCGTGTAGCAGATTGTGTTTCACCAATGAGTGAGTAGACTATTGGTTCACAAACTTTCCAAGCACCCGTGTGACATGGGTATTATTTAGCACTTAACTTACAGAACTTTGCCAAAACTTGACCTTAGGATGACCTAGTGTGAGCTACATGAAGATGATGATGGATTGCGGTTATGCCTTTTAAATCGGGTACGCCACTCTCAAATGCCATAACCGAAGAGAAGAAAAAAAAAGCGAGAGAAAATGGAGGAAAAGTCAAAATATGGAATAGAGAGACAAGAAAATGAGACAAACAAGAAAAAGAAGGAACAAAAAAAAGAAAAAAAATGGGGGCGAGCAGATACACACACCTGCACACAGACTTATAAAAATGTTCACCACATCCGGCTAGCGTATTGTCAAAAGACCTATATGTGCACAAAGGCCACAGCGCCATATTTGTAAACATGGGCTCACTGAAATGCCATGCTGTTTTTTTACATTTTTTTGCATGACAAGGATCTTCTACAAGAAAGGGTAGCCAAGTGCTTCTATGTATGTCAGCACAAATGTATCAATTTGTGGACCATGCACGTTAAGCGACATTGAATGAGTGTCCTAGTTTAATGCATCGCTAAACCAACTGCTGTTCATATGATACGAGACCACATGACCATCTAGAAGGACAAGCTAGACTAAACGGTCTTGTTTTAAAGGCACCTGTGTTCGTTCTATGGAAACGAGCTTGTTTCGCTACAAGTTCAGCTTGGGCCTGCTCTCCAACAGGCTTTCATAGCATCTCAATCATTATTTAGTCTAATAGGATGTGGACTAGCTGTGATTTACTATAATTCAATTTTGTAGATAGTTGGCAGCTAGATAAATAACCATCTGGTGTGCAGACTGAAATTGGTACTGGAAAAAAAAAAAACGGAAGGAATGCGCAATTCAAACATTCTGACACTAAGTTAATTAGTGCCTATAAAAACGTAATTAAGGAACCATTGCAGCGCTAACTGATGATCGATCATTTCCTTTAGATATGCTTCACTCATGGTCGATAAAGGTAAAATTTATCAAAAATGTGTCAAAATGAACTATGAGAAAAGGCAGGGGGGGGACTAAAAAAAACGTATAAACGTAAATTTGTCTGGGTGAAAAATATGATAATTATTTCCAGATATATTTATGAACTTTTGTTTCTGGATAACTTCGTAGCTATTAAACCCGATAGCTGCTTCTCACATGCACAAAAATTGGTGAATCCAGCTCACACACCAAAACAAGCATTTCATTCCAAATAAAACTATCAGTGCAGTGTCCAGTTCACCTGGAAGGAGTATTCGAAAGCAACTCTAAGACCCTTGTCGCTGAAACTTAACTGAAGCAAGCAAGCTAATATCAGACACAGAAAGTAATGAAGTCAGCCAAATAATATGCCACAAACTCATCAGGAATCTATTACCTTATTAAAGCACAAGACGGAATCCGTGAAAAAAAGGGGAATTAAGAAGATATCAGACATTAAGCTGAGATAAGATCAAAACAGAGGTTTTAGAAGACAAGTTTCTCAAGGCCTTGAGAAGAAAGATGACCCACTGTAGCTGGATTTGCAGTGTTTAGCTGCTGCAATCGGTGTTGCTACTGTGCCAATCCCAACGCTCTTAACAGAGCTGGCAGACAATGCCAGGTACCCTAAACATAACTGAACTGAAAGTACATTCAACAAGCTTTCTTGTCATGATAGTAAAGCTTACAAGCCAGCATTTTCACAAATATACGATAACATCGAAAACATCATGTAAACAGTCCTCTAAAAGCTTCAGCCGTCACTCATTCAAATTCAAGAAGGAACCAATGGCCAATACTTTTATGCAGGTAGTAGAGTTCCAGAAATGCCTCGTGAATAAAAAAAAAAAGAAAGTGTGCGACTGTACAACGCTGCTTTACAGACACCCGAGAAACGACTTGCAATATGGCTCAGTTGTCGGATTACAGTTGGGCCCAGAGCAGCTAGGTACTAGACTTGGAGTACGATGCCGGCCGCCGACACATTATCTCCACCTCCGCCGGTGTGGAGGACCTTGGTGCACACTAGCACGGGTGCTACGCAGATCTCGAAGTCCCGTTCCTGCCAGCAGGCTACGGGTCGCTTGTTGTTGAAGGGTATGCGGCGGCCTCCATTGCCGCGGCTCGTCGTGAACGAATCGTCCATGATGACGCGCGCGTGCGTCGTGTCGATGTCGTGCGAGCCACACGTGTAGCGGTGGGCGGTGAGCGCCGCTTTGGCCGCAGCGGCGAGCGAGTTCTTCCACGGCGAGTCGTTGGCGACCAGGATTGCCTGGAAGGCGAGAGTGTGAATGTGCAGGCGGGTGAGCGGCCTTCGGCCTGCGTCGTCAGGATTGGTGCTGCCTTTCTTCGGAGCGTTTGCTTTGAGAAGCCTGGGTGTGCAGAAAAATGAGTTTCCATCAGGAACATTTGAAAAGCAAGAGATCAGCTTGAGCTTATCGATTAATTGAGAGAAAATGCAAGGCTCATGCCAGAAGTCCTGAATATCTTGCAGTACAAAACCAAGGTCAAGACGAGAGCTGACAGATGAAAACGCATTGTGGGGTATAACCGTGATTAAACGAAAATTGAGGCATATGCACAAAGTGAATGATGATGAGTGGGCGAAGCAGTAGGGATTCACAATTACTCGAAGGATGCCCCTAAGCTTCCCCTCAATCATGGTCGTTCACTTTCAGATATGCTGTGATTTTCGCTTCATGATCGGAGTGGCTTAAAGTGGTACCTTTTATGTGGCAACATGCTTAATAATCATCATCATCGTCGTGGTGTGGCGCATACTGGGTACCTTGCTTGTTGTGCGCCGTGATGGCAGCAATCGCCACCAGGTTGCACAACAGCTACACGCGGCATTCTGTGAAATGATGTCACCACTACATACACAATAGGTGTATTTTGAGGATTCATTATTGATGAAGGAGAACATGGCATGTATGGTCTCAGCGTGCTGCAGGACTCTGTATGCGCATGGTTTGAAGAGAAAGAGTATTGGTGAAAAGCAGGAGAAGGGAGATGTTACACTGCAATATCGAAAAGCTCTCTAGGTTCTTTGAGGCCTCACCAAGAATATTTCAGATGAAAAACTCTCAGTTGCTGTGTGAAAGCCTAGAACAGTAAACTTGTGGCACAGTTGGCGCAACTTATAATACCGAACTTGGCACAGCAAGGTGTAGAGAGGTTGGATTGTAGCAAAATGATGAAAAGTACGCACCTGAACCATCACTGCCTAAACTAGCTGAGCCAACCAATAAACTTCCACAGTGTCAAGCCCACGAATACAGGTTTAAAAGCCGCCATCAAATCATGGCAATTTCCAATTTGATGAAGTGTATGCGTACTTACTGCTTTCTGTAAAAAAAAAATTAATCTTACAAATTATGGCAGTAGCCTTCAAGGTGTTAGGCTACAAAGGTTTGCCAGATATGGCGGTAACCTGTAAAGTTACAAGCTAGCGAGAAGGTGGAGCAAGACATTGGCCCAGTCACGGTAGCACAGAATGAAGGCAGCTCGTGTGCTCCTCATAGAATTAAATGGACAGTGAAAGCACTGCATGCCTTGTAAACTAGTGTTCTTTGCCAGCTTTGCAACCTGATAAGTACAACACACTGTTTCCTCTTACTCCTGAGACCCATCAGTTCTGAAAGCAATAATAATGCTGAGCATGTACGTGAAAATGCATGGCTCGCAAACGCAGCAGGTGCAAGGCTCAAGATAAGGCCACACGCGATGGCATGCTATGGAACACCCGACTGGCTGCTGATGGTACTAATGAAATTGGCCCCTATGTCCCTTGTTAGCTGCACTGATATCAATGAACCATTCGGACATTTAATGAACACTGCACCGTTTTTATATAACAGACCCCTGCATGTAAATGGGAAAACTGCGAATGTGACCTCCCTTCACTGGTGGTGCGAGACATAGGGAATGACAGCCTTGGTCTTGGGTGATGCATGCGACGTACTTGTAAGGACTAGACACGCCACAGCACGGCAAGCTGAGTGCTGCGGTGCGTCTAGTCCATCTAAATACATAACAGTGCTATTTCTCACAACCATGTGTTAACAACTACAGGTGAAACTTTCCCATATGAGCCAGGCCAATACAAGTTTAGCCTAGTGTGTTGTGGTGGGTCTAGTCCATCTAAATACATTACAGTGTTACTTCTCACAACCATGTATTAACAACTACAGGTGAAAATTTGCGATATGAGCCATGCCGATACAAGTTTAGTCAAGTAATAAATTATAAAATTCCCTCTTCAGATTCCATTCTGTCCAACGGGCCAGAATTCAAAAGTTGCTAACAGTTTTTCTTTTTGCAACGAGTAGTATGAGCTCGAGTAGTAAAAATATTGAGTGACAGCCAACAGAGCTATACTCTGGAAATATGTGCATTGCTAGTGCACATGGACTGGAAACGGAAGCGGCATTTCTCGTAACCATAGTAAGCAAAACTGCGATCACAGACATGCGATCACTGATTGGTTTCATTCCAGACTCTTGCAACCTGTCTATCTCTATGTAAAGGAAACTTCTGTTGAATTGAACATGTTTTCTTGGTTTCTTCAGATTCTTGTTAATGTCTACTGTATAGTATTCGATGAGAAATGATTCAAATCGATTAGTATTCACTTCAAACCACAAATTAACAACACTCAAATCTGTTTATAACAAAGTTGCAGATTACACGAAAATAAGTTCTTTGTAAAAGACATATACTTGCCATATCTTTATGGCAAGGCACTTCTCTGTTTATCATTATAACAGATATTTCGTTACATCTACGTTTGTTATATCGAGGTTTGAGCATATTCACCCATCCGTACTAGACTGGCCAAATTTGAGCAACATGAAGACTCACTCGTAGACATCTCGCATGGCATCGAGAACGGTGGCCACCCTGGGGTACGAGTCGGAGACATACGAGACGTTGCCGTACTTGAGGATGCTCAGCAGGTTGGGCAGCTCCTGCTCGTTCATGCCTAGTGAGTCGGCGTACGGCAGCACGTGCTCCACCAGCTCGTGCAGCAAAGACGTGTCCGTGTAAGAGGCCATCTCGAAGTGCAGCGGCACCGCCCGGTCAGTTCGTTTCATCAGGGCCTGCACCTCGCGGACATGCTTTTCTCTCTGGCCTTAAAGAAAAAAAGAAACAAGGACAAAGACTGCTAGTCAACATCAATGAATGACACAAAAGAGTATTTAATGAAACAAACAAACAAATGTGCCAAAGAAAGCATAGAGGCCATTAGTAGTCCTTTCCTAACTGCAATGTAATGATTCTCACTTAAACTGAAACGAACTTTCATTTTAAGTGGGCCTCCACATAATGTCCGCTATACTTTCAGTGGCTCAGTTGTCGCTTGTATTAGTTGCAGATAACACAGAAAGAAAATCTTAGCCCGGTAAAGAAAAAAGTGATTTGAACAGATATGCCGAGTTTTCCCAAGAAGAACTGTCAGAGAAGAAAGCATGCAAGTCTAATGCAACTTTAGAAGTCCGCGCAGCTTCTGCTCCTCAAAGGGCAATGCACAGAAGCCTGCACCAGTAGGCACGCACTTCAGACTGACGTAACAAGCTGGACGACCAGTGACGCCGCCTTCGGAGAACAACGCCGAATGAAACAGGAGGACTTTATGTTTGGTAGCCCTACTACGAACTTATTAGGTGTGTTTAGAGGCATAGACCGAAGCGTCCCATTGTAGTTGAAAGCCTAGCAGTAATCATGTATTATTTCACTGCAGCTTTACATGAGTGGGCCACCAGCATCAGCAGGCTGGAGTGAATATTTGAGCACTTTTAATGTCCTGACATGTATTACAGTACTCATATTCATTCACTTTGACATTCCTTTAAAATATTAGAAATTTTGAAATACTTAGAATGAAAGAGTATTATAACGTGTGCAACTTGCCCAAAAAGGCGATTTGACTGCAGCATGGCACTGCACTGCTATGAAACTGCCTATTCACACTATTACAAGGCCACACTTCAATGCTATTTATACATATTACCTGTATACTAATTAGCTTTATTTTTAAGCTTAGAGGTGCATTTATGGGTTTACATGGCCTATGTATGGCATGTGCCAGTAAGCCAATGCAATAATTACTGGAAAAGAGATTTGTTGCAGTTGACATCTGAGCCTCTATGCTTACATGGACGTGTGTACCACAAGTACACTTATAAACCTGAGTAGGAGTTTATGTTTTACCTGTAGTACCAATGAAACTGACAATCACCGCCACAATATAATGGTTATTTATGTTATTGCTTATTAATTCCTTAGGGCGCACCTTTTTCGAATGGGAAGTTGTCCATCATCTGAAGCGCCGACACAACCAGCAGCTTGGGCTTGAATTTTTCCAGCTCGGGCACGAAGCTCTCGATGGAGGCCATCTTGGGGTTGGTGTGGTCATTGTGGATTATAAACCTGGGTGCAGAGGGGTGGCACACAAGTGAGTTTACAACAAATAACTGAAGATACGAAAAAAATCACTATATAGGATGGCTACCTCAAAATTCAATGATGTTCTCAAACAATAACCCACTGACCTGAATTGTTATTCCTCTTTAGTGTCACTTCAATTCAATATGAAATAGTTTTATTTGCTATTTTCATTCACCAGGGACGGTAGACAGTAGGTGAAAATTAACACAGTGCTTGAAAAGGAACACGCCCCAAGCATCGTCTCTATACCAACAATTTTTCTCCTTGCCAATTCGTTCACTTTTTCGCTGCATTATCTTATTGCACTGTTTGCAGCTAGCTAAGGGTAAATACCAAACTAGCTAAGACCACCACTACTGTGTCCCTGGTAAACTTCTTTTCTCATGTGACTGAAAAATGCTATGCATTCTGCATGCATTGGAGTACACTCCCAACCGTGAAAGCGCCGCAACCAGTCGATCACATGGCAAGAAGTCCATTGGCTTCAATAGAAATACGCTTCTCCTATTTGCGCTCTGCAAGCAAAGTAAGAAAGGAAGAAAGCCACACCTGCTCCCTTTTATCTCTAGCTAAAGGCAAAGTGGAGTACTGCCAGTGTTTTGCTGACAATGCTACGTGTACATTGCATCGTTTCTCGGTCAGAGCTTGCGAACAATCTGATAAGGAAGACAAAACAAGTGGCATTTTCCCTCCGACTTCCAACGAAAATGATAAGTGCTTGAAGTGCTTTTTTAAGTACTATACCTTGTGCAAAGCCTTCAGTAAAATTCCTTCAGCAAATGTCACACTATTTTTCTGACACCATTAGGCTACAGAGAGCATCAACAGCCAAAAGCTGTTCTTGGTTTCTATCTATCAAATGCTGTTCCCATTCGCTATTACATTCAAGCCCCACTTCACTCTCTCTCATTTATCACTAAATCACACATTGGACTGTATTATGCTTCATTTGAAGCTTCTTTTTTAACTTTGCAAACACTAATGTGAGGTTAGTCGGTACTGATCCATAGCTTCTGAAAGGGAAGGAAAAAAAAATGCACCATGGAAGAACACAGAGGCTTTGGCTAACCTTTGGGGCTTTGCCCTATAAGAGGAACCAGTAATAATGCCAACGATCAACTGCCCATCAAGATTTGGGTATGTTGGGTGCATGCTGAACAACGAAACATTGATAAGCTTAAAGTAGGTAGCTTGTACACTGCAGTATTTCATCCACTGTTGTTCTATGCTCCTTCAAATCGCTGATGAATCAACTACCCATATATTTATCAGATTCCACCCTACCTGCACAGTATACAGAGAGCTTTTATAAGGACTAACTACGTATTTTATAAATTTCTTATATATACGCAAAACTGTAGAACACACAACTTGTAGCATGACATAATTCGCATCATTTGTACAAGATACCAGCGAAATGTAACTAGTAAAAGGAGCAATGAATAGCTTCATTACAAATCTATGAAATGTTTTATGTAAGTTTACATTGCTCCTTTTACATTCATGGTTCTTTTTGCAATTCATAAAAATGATTAATATCCCTGCCACAATCATTGAAATGGTTTTGAAAAACCCATTATGTTAGTGTATCTATCATAAATAACAAAATATATTTGGCTGATTCATTGACCACCTAAATTTATGTGTTTCTTGCGAAAACATATACAGAATACAGAACTAGGATTCTTTAGTTCGAAAATCTTACATTGCTACAGTGACACATGCAAGAATGATACAGGAAGAAGCACAAGCGGAAAGGAACAGCATCATTCTTGTGTGCATTTCAGAGCACGTGACAAAATTCAGTTACGTACTACTAATGAGCTACGTACTACTTGGTGGCAGCAGGGGCAGCGCAAGAAAGCCGTGTTAAGCACGTTCTGTATTTCTTACACATATACCAGTACACTAGCACGGATCATCGAAGCAAGACAAGGCAGCGCTTACGAAGCAGGAAGCTGACGACGACGCACCCACCAGGGGATCAGTCCAGCTACTGCTACAAAAAGGCCTGCAACGCCGGTGGAACTTCACTTGGTGGCAGCAGGGGCAGTGCAAGAAAGCCGTGTTAAGCACGTTCTGTATTTCTTACACAGATACCAGTTCACTAGCACGGATCATCGAAGCAAGACAAGGCAGCGCTTACGATGCAGGAAGCTGACGACGACGCACCCACCAGGGGATCAGTCCAGCTATCGCTACAAAAAGGCCTGCAACGCCGGTGGAACTTCACTTGGTGGCAGCAGGGGCAGCGCAAGAAAGCCGTGTTAAGCACGTTCTGTATTTCTTACACAGCGATGCCGGAAGATTTCCGAGAAGAGCTCAGGAAAGAAATGCGCGATTTCAAAACAAAACTGGAACGCGAACTCAGGACAGAAATGCGTGAATTTAGGAAAAGTTTGGAATTCATGAATGATGAACTTGAAAAGACAAAGAAAGAACAGAAAGAACTTCTGAAAGAAAATAAGGCGCTCAAAGAAGCAAACGCGAAGCTAGCTGCAGATTGTGAAATGCTGAAAAAACAGAGCTCTGAACATGAGCAGCGGCTCACTGCGTCGGAACAGTACTCACGCAACCGAAACATTGAAATTAAAGGCATACCCCAATCGAGTGATGAAAAGCTTCTCGAGACTCTTCATCGTGTTGGAGAACTTTTGAATGTCCCCATTGATGAAAGCGACGTCGAAGTTTGCCACCGTGTTGTCTCGAAGAATGTAAAGGACACTCCAAACATTGTTGCACAATTTAAAAGCCGCTCTAAGCGGGACATGGTTCTTCAAAAGGCAAAGAAAATGCGCATAACAAGTGAAGATTTCGGTCACTCGCAAGGGACGCCTGTGTTCATAAACGAACACCTAAGCCCAGCCATGAAGCACCTGCTTGGCATGGCAATTGCGAAAAAGAAGGCTCAGAACTGGCGTTTCGTGTGGACGAGCAACGGAAAGATTCTCGCCAGAAAGGAAGAATCCGCTCCGGTAGTGCGCATTCGCACTGCGCAGGATGTTGAAAAAATAGTGTGATCCACACCACCCATTTCTATGTATTTATCTCGTCTTCAAGATGGCTCAATCACCCCATGACGTCAATCAGTTATTCAAATCTCATGCAGGTATCATGCTCACATGTTTTCATTTAAACATTCGCTCGGCAAGGCATAAAGAGGACGAATTATCGGTCCTTTTAGACGCTATGGATTTTCAGTTTGACATAATCATGTTAACCGAGACCTGGTATGACACAAACAGCAACATATACGAACGTAACGGGTATCGCAGTTTTTGTATAAATAGAGCTACACGTCAGGGTGGTGGCGTGGCTATCTTAGTAAAAAACGAACGAAAATCTGAAATTATTGCGGAAATCTGTACCATTACGAGTGATATTGAGTGTTTATGTATATTATCCCACCAACAAGTTTTCTGTGTTGCATATAGACCACCAGACGGAAACTCGGCTTGGTTCATCAGTCATTTAGATAAGATGCTAGGCTATGTAAATGACAATAGATATAAATTAATACTTGGGGGTGACATTACATAGACCTATTGCAACCTTCCCATAATCGAGCGGCCCTTCTCAGCACTGTCGAGTCAAATGGCTATACGCTTTTAGGAAACACTGCGACGCGCGTCACTCCTTGCACAGAATCATTGCTTGACGTGTTTATCACAAATATGAGCACAGAAAACGTGATATCAGGAGCCTTGTGCTCCGGTATCAGCGACCACTTTTCCATTTACATGCTCGCAAGAACATCAGTAAAACATAAGCTGCAGGATGCAGAAACAAAAATAACAACTCAGAAAATCACCGCTGAAACATTGCATGCTTTCCTTTCAAAGCTTCGAAAAGAAGACTGGGAAGACGTCAGACGTAGTGAAACTGCAGATGCAGCTTACGAGGCATTTATTTCCATTTTTAAACGTATCTACCATGAGCATTTTATCCTAATAACGCAGAATATAAAAAAGGGTAAAGGTCGTAAACCATGGGTAAACCGTGAATGCATAAAAAGAATTAAACAAAAAACGAGATTGTTCAAAAAGTTTCTTAAGAGTAGACTGGATACTGACTTTGATATCTTTAGGCAATATAGAAATAAGCTAACCTCTTTCCTTAGAAGTGAAAAGAACAAATATCTGCATGACCAGTTCCGCAGGGAATACTGTAATCAAACAGGAGATGTATGGAAAAAACTAAATAAACTGTTAAACCGTACGCAACCGCCATCGACTGTCGATGATCTCGTTATAAACGGTAAGCGCATATGCGGAAAAGAACTTGCTGAAGCGTTCAATAAGTTCTTTCGGGATGCGGTTAGTATCGGACAGTGCATCCCTCCTGCAACCTATGGTATTAAGGAAAATAAGCACAGTATTTATTTAGAGCCAACGGATGAACACGAGATGCGAGATATTTATGCGTCTTTCAAAAACAGCAGAGCTAGGGATATTGACGATATACAGATCGAGCCGGTAAAGTTTGTGCTTGACGTCATTGCTCCTTTACTTGCCCACATATACAACCTTGCAATAGCAACAGGCTGTTTTCCGAAAATGATGCAGATCTCTAAAGTTAGTGTCCTGCACAAAAAGGGCGATAAGAATGAGTTGTCGAATTACAGGCCGATTTCTGTATTGCCTATATTTTCAAAGGGCCTTGAGAAGATTATTCATAAACGAATAACAAAATTTAGTCACGCTTTCAATTTAATTAATGAGTCTCAGCATGGCTTTCTCCACGGCAAATCAAATGAATCTGCACTACTAACCCAGAAGGAAATCATTCTTAAGGCTTTTGAATTAAAACAGATATGTGTAGGCATTTACATAGATTTTTCTAAGGCCTTTGACCGGATTCAGCATGCAACCTTGTTAGAAAAACTGCAACTATATGGTATTCGCGGCGTGCCACTGCTTTTGATAAAATCCTACTTGAAGCATAGGTATCAATGTGTCAGCATAGGAACGGCCGTTTCAACGTTACAGCAGGTAGTCACTGGCGTTCCGCAAGGAAGCATATTGGGTCCTTTATTGTTCATCCTTTACATAAACGACATAAACACTATCAACAAAACACCAACTTATGTAATTTACGCTGATGACACCAGCCTATTTTTCACTGGAAAAAATTTGCAAATTTTAGCACCTGAAATAAATAACGCCCTTGAAGACATACAAAAGTGGAGTAAAGAAAACTCGCTGTTGATCAATGATAAAAAAACAAAGGCCGTTCTTTTTCATCCGCGTCAGCTTTCAGTCACCATTGATAGTTCCTTATTTTTAGGCACGGCGCCTATAGAATTTGTGAACTCAATAAAAATTTTAGGTGTGCTGTTTCAAAAAAATATGTCCTGGGACGATCATTTCGACCACGTTCAATCTCACGTGGCTAAAAGTGTGGGTGCTATTGCAAAATTTCGACACATTCTTCCTGTATCGATAAAACTCATGCTGTACAACACGCTTTTTTTATCTCACATAAATTATTGTTTTTTGGTGTGGGGAAATTCCACACAGAGAAATAACCATAGAATATTAATGTTACAAAAAAGGACTCTTCGGTCCATAGCTAACGTTGAATATCATGCGCACACAAAGGATTTGTTTCATCGTTTTAACGTTGTACCCATAGAAAAATTCTATGATTGGAAACTAGCTATCAGATATAAAAAGGCTGTTTATAAAAATCAGCATGACCTTCTAAATCTTGCTAATCTAAGAGGAAATGCTCCTTTCTATTCTCTCCGCAAACAAGACTTCTGGAACATCCCCTTCTGCCGAACTGAATACGGACGACAAATGTTACAGTATTGTTTGCCTCACTTGCTAAATACTCTCCTCAGAAGCGAAATAGAAGTAGAGAAACGCAGTATAAGTCATATTAAAAAACACTTCCTGTAACCAATCACCGTAAAAAAAAAAAAAAAAATTTGCTGCACTGTATGAAGAGAGATATATTTACATTGCTTTTGTTTTGTTTGATGTTTGCTTGTTGTTTTTGAATAAATTGTTGGGTCAAATCATTATCTCTATCGATTGACTATCGGCATGAACATTTACACATACCCTGTATCATTGTTGTAACGCGCTGGTATGATTCCGTGAGAGTATCTGTGTTAGTATTTTTTTTTCATGTATGTAACGCGCTAGTTTGTTTTCTGATAGCGTTTTCACATCTTTGTGTGTCTCTACTGTTATGCCTCGTATATGGGGGCTTGGGCTTTCCTCAAGCGAATTGTTTCGCTTTTCGCCCAAGCTTGCCCACATCTTCAGGATGTAAATAAACTTTGATTTGATTTGATTTGAGCCTCTACCTAAAAGATAATAGACTATCACACAACTATTTGATCACCACTTTCGTTAAATACTTTGAACTGCACTACCGTATCAAACTGATAATATCAAAAGGGTCTTTGCTAACCTGTTGGCACGTGGTGAGTGAAGATGGCCCCACCGTTCGCCGGCGGGATACTCGAGCAGCAGGTGCACCTCGTCATCGGTGACTTCTGGCCCAGCCACGACGATGCCCTCGGGCAGCTCGGCACGCAACTTGGGCGACATGTGGGCACCAAGCAGCACCTCGCAGCCTTCGTAGGCGAACCGCCTCGCCATCAGCGGTGCGTTGCCTCCGATGTGAAACTCTGCGCTGTCGGCGCTCTTCGCCGCCTTGACGAGCTCGGCGAATAGTGTCGCGTTGGAAACAAAGCGCCTGCATTGAGCAATTACAGTAGAAGCACATTAATTGGACACCTGTTAATTCTGAAATTCGGATGGCTCTATTGGTCACGGCCAAAGTGCATGTTAATCTATGGGAACAAACTTTCGTTAGTTCGTCAAAATTCAGCTCCGCACAACTTCGTTCGGAGAAATGCTGACCGCTGCAGCTACACGAAAGTGTGGTAAAGCAGCGCTGGCACTACTCGAGTGAAACTGAAACATGGGTGGCATCGGCATCGTCATCAACTAGATGGGTGATCACAACATCACCGAACGTCGGTGCTTTTTTCGCACCACTACGCTTTCAGCGCCATTTTCCTTTGTGTTGTCATATGTACACAGTCCTTCCTAGCGGAGCTCTCTCGCTTTTTTTTTTCATTGTGACTGTGTTTGCATGCCACCACATGAGCAAATAAAGGTACGATTCTCAAACTTGATTTTAATGTTTTTCCTGTTCATTCATTATATTGGCATTAGGTTCACTCAAACATTTTTTTCGGTCTGTGAAATTTAAATTAACGAGCCTTTTTTGTATAATTCTTGTTTGACATTAGACCCCATTATAAGTCCCTTGATTTTTTTATGCACCTGTCTAACATAACTCAAAGGCAAAAGCCGTATTCTTTGCCCTCTAGTCAAATGTGTTCATTCGTCTCCCCCCCCCCCCCCTCAATCTTTTAGCTCCCGTTGCTGTCTAGTAATGATACTAGAATCGCAGGCATTGGAAGCTTTATGCAAGTTATACTGCTTTGCAGTAGCATTTCGTCCAGAAGTGGGCCCACTTCTGATCAAACAATGAAGTCACTTGATCACATCGTGTGATGTCACAGTAATGCCATGATGACCTCACAAACTCAGTGACAAGCGTTGTTATGGCGACATCACCAGATGATGACTTTGAGCATCAGCATGACTGATGCTACAAGTTATTTCTCATGTTTGATAAGGCATCTAAGGTTTTTGACATAACACAACTCATGTGACAGCAATACACCTTTCGGCACATTTTATGGTTAGCTTAGGGATTGCTTCATGCAACAACAGTTACTACTGCTTTTCTTAAAATAAAACATTTCCTTGGGTGAGCTGGTCCTTAAACGAAAAGAATCAAACCAATTGTTCGAAAAGCAAGAGCGACGTAACTGAAGGGAAGAAGTGTAATTTTGAAGGCTTGTTTTCTTTGCCTGCACCCCCCCCCCTTTTTTTTGCCAGTTGTCATAACGTAGCCCCTAATCTTATTCCAACTGGCAGCCTACCAATAATCCCTCGCATACTACCTGAAGGCATCAAGTCCGCAAGAACATTGCTATGAAGTGCAAATTTGAGAGCTCATTTTCTTTGTTGTAGACATTATTAAGAAGAACAAACAGACAATAATGCAAAGGAAAGTAAGAGGAATGTTATTAGAAGCAATTGTAATGTGAATGCGAAGAAAGAGAAGTGGACGAAATAGTACTTGCCGATGGCAAACTATATTTTCGTCTACTTTCCTCTCTTTACCATTTACATTACAATTACTTCTAATAACATCCCCTATACTTTCACATAGATGATGCATGGATGCAGACTTGAAGTTGATAGACATTCACGCATCTAAATCCGCAACTGACAAAGCTAGGTACTCAACATGTCGCAAAACATTCTGCCGGTCATTTGGTGTGCAGTCACCAATATGTGGGGTTTAATGTCCCAAAACCACCATATGATTGTGAGAGACGCCATAGTGGAGGGCTACGGAAATTTCGACCACCTGAGGTTCTTTAACGTGCACCCAAATCTGAGTTCACGGGCCTACAACATTTCCGCCTCCATCAGAAATGCAGCCACTGCAGCCGAGATTCAATCCCACGACCTGCGGGTAGTGTGCAGTCTTTGTCAAACACTAATGCACAGTTAAGGAAAGAAGTGGAAATTTAAGGGCTCGTTTTTCTTTGTTAGATACAATATAAATGAAACCTAGCAGACAATGATGCCAAGAAAGGATCACCACAGAGTATTCTTAGGAGGAAAGAAAGAGTCAGCTTAACATTGTCTACAGATATCATCTAGAAAGCCGGAAATTTATGAGCATTATTGTTTAGTTGAAGGACATACTAAGTTGAAGGACGAAGGGACAAGTTACCGCAATGGGGGCCCGAACCTGCAACCTTCAGAAAATGCACCCGATGCTCTACCATTTGGGCTACTTCACCATTTGAGCTCCTACGACTTCATAACATATATCTGTACATGTAGACCTGGCAGTGTTAGTGCCGCTCGAAGTCACGACAAAGATTGTGGTAAATTTCTTTTTTTTTTGCCAGAAATTTAGTCGTGAAATATGCGTGTACCTGTATTGTGACATCAGTTGGTGACCAGTTAATGAAAGCACGAGGCATATTGCGTGTCAAATGAGTAAAAAAAAACTAGACACAAAAGTTAGTTACGTTGCGTTTTACGGCACAAAAGCAACAATGGCTATGATGCGCCAGACACTGGGTGATTTTGATAATAGGGTTAAAATGTGAGGTGAAAAACAGATTTCTGTTTACAGTTTGTTTAAAATACCTGCGGCCTCTAGAAACCGAAAAACATGCTGTATGGGGATGAGTGCACTTTCTGCTAGTATTAACAATGGGTGTAGAGGTGTTTTGTGTTCTGTAAAATTGTTTAAAGTAAACGTGTCTTCTTTTTTTCAAAGACTGGGCATGTTATTGAAGTATGATTGATAGTCAGAAGTTCCTTGCAATGTTCGCATTCTGGCTGATCTTCTCAGAGCAATAAAAAGTTGTGGGTGAGGTGAGTATGACCTATCCGCAGGCGGCATAGTGTTTCTTCGATTGATTGATTGATATGTGGGTTTTAATGTCCCAAAGCCACTATATGATTATGAGAGACGCCGTAGTGGAGGGCTCCGGAAATTTAGACAACCTGGGGTTCTTTAATGTGCACCCAAATCTGAGCACACGAGCCTACAACATTTCCGCCTCCATCGGAAATGCAGCCGCCGCAGCCGGTATTCGAACCCGCGCCTTGCTGGTCAGCAGCCGAGTACCTTAGCCACTTGACCACCGCGGCGGGGCAGCATAGTGTTACTTCGATGAAGCGCTTTTGGTGACTAGAAGTAAACAAGTATTCCCAAACATGAATGACGACATATGTCAGCAAACATATGATTGATGAGGATGTTATTTATTGGGCAACAAACGAAAAGGCACCGATGCAGGCTATTATCTCAACTTCGTGCGGTCAATGTGCAAAGGCACAAATTACAATAATGGAGTGCAGGTGTTTTTCACAGGCCGACACAGCAGCTGAAATGGTTTGGTTTGATTTTTATGGTGCGTAGCCAACTTAAGCCATCACGCACCAAACGCATGGTATGGTTCTCTTAAAACGTTTGGATGCCTCGCCGAGTCCATGTCTAGACAAGGGCCTTGAGGATACCAACCAGGTGTAACACGTCCATGAGTGCGACAAAAAATGACTGCATTATCCGAGAAAATGATGCAGTCACACAGTAAACCTGGAAACAGTTGCTTGGCGGTGAGGAGGAAGAGATGACACCGTTGTTAGCTTGACCACTCAGCAGTACAGGTGTACCCTTTGGACCTAAATCAACAAGCTGATAACCTCAACAGCCACTCGAACCACGTGACGCACTCGGTGCCCCCAAACGTGCCAAGCCCCGATAACACAATCTCTGCGTCCACGTAGCTGGAATTGCGCCAGAACCGAAACGGCGGCCAGAGAGTTATCAACCCGGGCAACTTGCACGGATAACGATTAAAAGACAATGGGCCCCGTACATAACCTTGCCGAATGAAAGAGGGGTGTTTCGACACACCCCCGTTTCATTCAGATTTGACAATCGACTGCACGTGCAGGTAATCTAAAACGGGAAGTCCGTGCCGTTTTCGCAGAATAAAAGGTCAACGAAATTGTTCTACCCATACAATAACTGCGGGGTGACTGACAGCCGAGCCTGATGATAGCGGAACTGTAAATATCGCGTCTGCGTTTTCGAAATCTTGGCGAATATTGAAGTCTCACAAGAGCCATTAAAAATATCACTGATGCCATCGAAGTTGCCTAGAACACTCGAAAGGCAACATCATATTGTGAAAAATAAAAATAAAGGTGACTGACCGAAAGAGCTAGCGGGAAGCGAGCCAAAGATAAAAAGAAAAAGCTCGCAGTCAGCGCTAAAAATCCGCCGACATTTCATCGACCGGAAAAAAAAAAAACAAAGGTCGTTAAATATCGTCATCTGTGCGCCTGCTCCAGGCACAGAAAGGAAAAAAAGAAACGCTAAGCAAGATAAATAAAACCGATTTGTTTTTAATAAACGCCACGCAAGCAATCGGTTCACGAAGCGTAGACATTTTGCGCTGCGACAGAAAAAAACGGTTTGAACGAGTCGTAATACGTCCAAAAACGCCCAGTATAAACATATTCTTCGTATTCTTTTGCGTCACACCTGATCTTTGATGGTGTTCTTCGGATAAATAGGCCAAGGACTGTCCTAAACAGAAAGCCTGCAAGTCTAGAACTTCACCGGCATCTTACTCTTCTCTCCGAATGTGAGCGCTGTACGAACCGTGAATCAACTAGCCAGACAGCAAAATGCTTTCTAATAGGTAACGAGAAGGTTGTTGCTTTCTAATAGGTAACAAAAAATGTTTGAGTAACTTACTCGGCCGCTGCCCCATGCCGGAAGTAGTAGGCGAAGACGCGCTGAAGGTCCCTCTCGCTGTGGATGACATCGATGTGTTCGGGATCGTCAGGAGGCTCAATGTGCGCGAACAGTTCCGAACTCTGGACGATCAGGTCCTGGCAGGATCCGAAACCGATCGCGATGCGAGTCTTGGGAGCCACGGACACCTGGCTCTCGGCTTTGAGCAGTCCGTCCAGTATCAGCTGCAGGCGCTGGCGTAGATCATCATCGGCTTGCCGCTTGTAGTATATGGCGTAAAAAATGACTAGTGCTGATATAACAGTTGTGGCAGATAGCGTCCACTTGGAGGTCGCGGATGCTGCGATCATGGTCGGCGAAATTTTGTATCTCCACCTTTGTGTTTAGACGGCGGAGGCGAGGGAATTTACGGAGGAGCAACGGAGGCTGCACAGCCTCAAGCTGCCATGACCAGTCACGTGATGACGACAAACCGGCGCACGCAGCGACTTTTTGTTGTTGTGCGCGTGTCAGCTTCCGCGAGTAAAAAATAGGGCGTGGCGGAGCAGTACTGTGCATACTTGTTTCGTTTTTGATCACGCTTTTGTTGCGTTCACAGTTTCACGTTCACGCTTTTGCGATTGCGACCAGTAGTAGTAGAAGTTATAGCAGGATTTGTCGTGGATGTCCACAACAGACCATGAAAGAATGCAGCGTCTGAAAATCGGTCATAACGTACAAAATGTGTTTACATGAGAAAGTCGCTGCATGGCACTGAACGTGCTGCAATACAAGTTGATAAATTTTAAAGAAATATTTAAACAAGTACATAAATACATAAAAGATTATAGTATAATGTCTCTAGCAAAAATGCTCATCGCTGGCTTCATTTTGGCGCCCCTGCTTTATGATGTTGTACTGAAGAAGTGGTTAGTGAAGATTTTTACGATTCGTTCACGCAGAACGTTCGTCCTTGTGCGGCACAACTGAAATAACAGTTATGATTTTAATAAGGTGTGCCTGGTGGCATTATGGCGTGCATTCAGCGACATTTACGTGTAGAGGTTGAAGATCGATGTTCCATTTATTATGTAATAAAATCACGTTGACACGGGGCAGCTCACAAATCATCTCTTGCACACTACCTGAAAACATCGAGTCTGCCACGACGACACCCTCGCTATGAATGAAAGAAAGAAGTGAAAATTCAAGAGCTCGTTCTTTTTTTAGGGGTCGTGCGTTCACGATGTACGTAGTAGTAGTAGTAGTAGTAGTAGTAGTAGTAGTAGTAGTAGTAGTAGTAGTAGTAGTAGTAGTAAGTTGCCACCTCCACGGCCGGACTAGAAAAGCGGCACGTGCACACTCTTTTGAATTGAGGAGGGAACTCGCGCAAGTTCAGCATAAATAAAAATATAGTTGTTTTTGATGAAATAACCTCCAGAAAGGAGTATCGGTGACTTAATCTACTATGAAATTCGCCATGAATTTGATGCTTACTAGAAAAAAAAAACTAGTATCAAACTAGTATCAGAAGGACGCACATTGAGCACTATCTGACCAGAAAGGGTTTCAGTTTCAGTTTATTCATTCATTCAAAATACAAAATTTGTAGAATGTAGTATGCAGACGAGGGTCCCAAAGTCAAGCGACTGCAGTGGGACCCTCGGTTAGCAATAACAATAAAATCAATAATTATAACAGCACGTAAAATACGCAACATAAGTGAAAAGTAAACAGTGAACTTACATAAAATAACATCAAGTAAACAAAAAAGGCAGTCAGAATGCGACACAAGAACAATAGTAATAAGTTATACAAGTAAAACATAATCACGATTGCCACGATTAACTCGCTGGGCGTAACCTCCTTGGTTTTAGCAAGGTTTAGAAGGTTGCGCCACAGCGCCATGAACTAGTGGTGGTGAAAGGTGGGAACTAGACATGAAGCGCAGGCCGCGAGAAAGTGCGTGCCTTTTCGTCCACTTTTCTTTCTTCGCCTTTACGTTATAGAACTTACCACTAATAGATCCTGTGTACTTCCCACGGCATCATTGTCTGTTAGTTCTCATAATTTTTTTCCCTTTGTAATACTCGATAAACCATTCGACCAACCTGGCCTGAATCCTCGTACATATGTCTCAGCAGCATAATAAATGTAACTAATACCAATTCGGCATGTGCAGGTAGCGAGGCTGTCCAATAGAACACTCACTCGATGAATAACACCGTCAAGTTGGTCCGATCTAAAAGCGTCAACTTTGAATGCCTATAACTAATTGGACTCGATCGTACAACAATGTTTGAACATTTCGAATGGAAGCAATGTTCCAATATGTGTAGGCCTCAACTGCCAGCACGCGATCATCTGCAATACTCCCTCAGGGCGGCCAATCGTGCAGACGGGGAGGGAGGTGTGACGTAAGGAACAAGATGGGGGGAAGTGGGGGCAAGACCAGCGAAACGCATTGACATTAGGAGGACGCTGCGACGAACCTTCGGGCTCCTCCCCCCTGAAGATGAACGCTGCGGACGCTTACTTCACTGGAGAGCGAGCTAGTTTCAACAGGTTTTAGTTCATTTAAAAATGGGAGGTCAACTGGTATGGCTAGTTGAACTCGCTGACTTTTTGTTAGGTGCGTTGGAGAATCAACTGCACTAGAGCCTCTAAGTTAGCAGTCCAATTAGGCGTTTCGGACCAGCTAGCTCAAACCAATTGAAAAATGGGTCACCGACTCCAACTCTGACCAATTGAGACCTACTATGATTCTCAGCAAGTCAGATTCTTTTCTTTTTTTATTCTTTATAGAGGCGGCCTGCTTTCCACAGTAGTTTCTTGCTGCTATCGTTCGGCAAGCTTAGCTAGGTCGCATCGAAAAACATTTTTGAAACGTTGTTCCGTGTTCCTGTATTTCTGGCTTACCGTCTCAGTCCCTAGCTCCCGCGATTGTCACGCAGGGTAGCAAACCGAATAAGTGTTCTGGTAAAGTGTACTTCTGGTTAGCCTCGCTCTTCAGTGGTCCTTTGCCTAATATTTCTCTCTTCTCCTGGCACCAATCAAGTTAGGTGGGCGGAAGCGTCTCCGGTGCAGAGACTGCAGGTTTCGAAACGAATGTTAAACCACTTCTCAGGCGGCGATCCCACAGATTGGCGACATAGTTTTACGCGCGTCTCACCATAAGACTGGGGCATTGCACAACCAAGTTCCGGTACGATGCTACGCTGGGAAAGGTTATTCGACCCGTACATGGGGGCGTCTGTCTAGACAGTGAAGAAGAAAGCAGTGAAAACTCTTTTTGTCGGGGATCTACATGCTTCGTGAAGCATGTGCGGAATGCAACGTATCGAGGTTTAGAGCTGTGAAACGTATACATGGTGAAACATCCGCAGTGGTGCCGCCACGCGAACAACCAAACACCATCGGGCGATTGTGTCGGACCATAGATTGGCAGTGTCAGTATACGGACCAATCAGCTAGCGTGCAGTAAAGTGCTTGTCGAGCATGTCATGTTGAGCTTTATTGTCCCAAGCGAACAACTGGTGCATGGCGATGTTAGGGAGAAGTCTTAATAAGAAAGTATTTAATGAGAAGCCTAGCAAAGATGTGAAGCGGACCCGCCACCGCTCCCCCTTTTCCGATAGAAAAACGAAGAAAAAAAATAAAGTCACAAAGTGCATAGTGGCAATGCGCCCGTGAGCAGGACCTTACTTTCCTTTGAAGGTACGATGCTGTACTGGCACTGTATTGCATCAAGCCCCCTGGCTCTAAAGGCGGCTCTTGTGAAACGGGTAGCTTGACACGGACGAGGGACAAGACACAAAGACGCAGTGAGCTGATGCAATCATCTTTAGCATGGTGTTGCTGTGCGGCAAGACGAACCATTAGATGAAACGAAAACAGATGGGATATATTACCATGTTGGAGTGGAAGCGCCTGCAAGAAATGAGCCGTAATAGTACGTGAAATAATCGTACGAGTATGGCGCATTTGCATGGCGAAAGGATGAGTCGATTGAATCACACTTCGGTTCTTGAAAGTGTACATGAACTCTAAATTAACTCTCTCTGGGAACATATGGATAACCAAAACAAACCTAACCCAAAAACGTCGAACAATGCGGGAGCAGGGACTACAACACGACCGGTCTTCTTGGCCCGACACCCCAGTCATAAAGGGGATAGTCTGCTGAAAAATTTGTCTTGACGTCGGATATTTTGTGATGCCTACGACTGCTCGTAAAACAGTATTCTACCCACAAAATATAATTATCGGTGGTTACTACTGCCTTTATCGAATTGAATAGCGTACTTCTTTGAAGAAAAGATTTCACTACTAAAGCTACTGTTGCATAACTAATTATAATTATGATTCAAGTCTTAATCCCGCACAACCAGCTTGCTAATCTTGAACCTCGCTAGGTGTAACGAGGTTAGCACATGGATCACGCATTCGCCGTGGTGCAGCAGTGCCGTGATTACTGTCAGAGGGCTTGGCTGCTGCCCCGATTGTCGTGGTTCGATACCGGCCATAGCGGTCACGTGTCAATGGAGGTGAAAGGATACAGGCTGCTCTTGCACTGTGCAATGTAGGTGGATCTTAAAGATCGCGAGATGGTCGAAATTTCCGGAGCCCTCCACCACGGCGTCTCTCAATATTGTTATGAAACAATGTCCCACAAAATCGGTTAGATAGGCGCGGAGAAAGACGACATGATTTTGGTGTAGGACCCTCTTTGTGGGTATGCGCCAGGGTAAGATGGATCATCATCATCATCTTGGGCTCTTGTTCTTTATCTTGGCTTGCGCGTTGGCGTGGTGTAAATATATCTTGAAACGCCTAGTAACGCGTGAACATTCACGTAACAATATCAAATCGGGTTTAGGCACGTGCCGATATTATTATTCAGAAATTTGTCTTTACGACACTGTGTTTATAACAGTCCTTGTGTTTATAACAGTCCTTATAACAGTCCTTTAGAACTATTTAAGCCGCCCATTTGGAGGTTGTTTTCGTTCGACTGGCTGGAGTTTACGCGAGAAGCTAAAAAAAGAAAATGTCGTACACTTGCCCGTTATAGCATGCCTTTTCAAGGGTATCGGCCTCACAATGTGCTTGTAATGAACCCCCACGCTTCCATATTCAAGTTTCCCGTTTCTAACGACTCCACTCAATCACGTTGACAGAGCCGCGCCACGTATTTTGTGTGTACCGTACTCGCCGAGCGCAAACGCCTATAGAGTTACGACGCCCCTGTTTTTGTGCGAGGCACCTGTCGAATTCCCGTGCTTTTGTGAGACAGCAACGAAAGGTTTCATACTTTCGACAAGTCCCCGGGCCAACGTACGTTCGTCTTATTTTTTTTTTGTTCCGAGGGCGAACAATGCCTTTGATCGCGTGTTTGTGCCCCGCCGCGGTGGTCTATTGGCTAAGGTACTCGGCTGCTGACCCGCAAGTCGCTATATCGAATCCCGGCTG